TATATATATATATATATATAATAAAGGAGGGATTAAATTAATTTGAGATTAATTTTACAAGAGTTATTCTATATTTTTTATTTTCTTTCGATTTAATTATTAACGATTATAGCAAGTAACTCACTTTTAATTACAAAATTAAATAAAAATTAAAGGATGAGGATAGATAGTAACCCTTAAAAAGTTTACATTTGAGTTCTTTCTTTTTATTTGGGTGCAACTTGTTATTCTTTTATATATATCATTTTTTTTCCTTCATTTTTTTTTTCATCTCTCTGTTCCTTCCACCTAAATCTAGTATTTCCCCTCTTTTATGTTTTTGTCCTTGAGAAACCACACCATACAGAAGAGAAACACTGCAAAAAAAAAAATACAATTTTGTTAACAATTATTTGTCTGTTAAAGTTTCCATATCACCTATGTTAGAATTTTATTTATTTGGACTACTATTGATTGGTGTACTTTTAGTTTATTAAAACGGGTTTAATGTATGACTTGATATGTTATTCTGTGATCCTATTTTGAGTTTTGAGAATCACCATGTGTACATATAATTATTGAGCTGAGTCCAATATACAAGTGTGCTGAGTATAGGGATGACAACGGGGCGGGGCGGGTACGGGTTTCATGATACCCGTCCCCGTCCCCGCAAGTAAAACTCATCCCCATCCCCGTCCCCATACCCGTCGGGTATGGATTTTCATCCCCATCCCCGTCCCCGTCGGGTATCGGGTATACCCGTACCCGTACCCGTACCCGTCAATTTTTTTATTTTTTATTTTTTTTAAAAAAATAATATTTTTAAATTATTTTTTTTATTATATTATAATTATAATTAGGTTATTTTTTTATCTCACATTATAATAAATAATCATACATAAAAAAATATTAAAATTTTTTAATAATTAAAAATGAGAACGGGGACGGGTACGGGTACGGGGCGGGTAAGTACATACCCGTACCCGTACCCGTACCCGATTCAATATATCGGGTTTTACCCGTACCCGTACCCGTACCCGGTCAAACCGGGTATTCCCCGTCAAAGTCGGGACGGGTTCGGGTATTACCCACGAGTACGGGTATATTTGCCATCCCTAGCTGAGTAGTACATGTAGGGCCTATTGAACCTAATATTCATGATGGATGAAAATTAGGTAACTCAAGTTTCTATTTTATTCTTTTATTAAAAGGAGGTAGGATCCCCACTTGACTCTTGAGATATATACGCTCTCTGACGGCTCGGTTCCATTAGGGTCAATCTTTGAAAGAGGAAGAGATCAAGTGGAAGAGCATGTTCTTGACGTATACATGTGCGTACGTTTTTGTGACACCAAGGAAGAGTTATAGAAGATGTCAAGAAGAGGTACGTAATTTACCTTAAACAAAAATAATATTTGGGTGTTTCTAAATTTTAATATTAATTCTAATAGTGTTAAAAATCTACTCTCTTTTTAAAATAATAATAATAATAATAATAATATTCACTCTCCCGACATCGTTGCAATATTTTTTTCTTATAGTTTTCAAGCACGATTTAAATAAAATTAAAAACAATTATAAACTAAGAGAACATGCAATTAGACCCATCAAAAGCTATCCTGAATTGCAATAATCTCATCTACAAGTGTCTTATAAAAGAACCAAATATATCATATGAGAATATCTACATAATGCCCAATGAAAATGCATGATGCTTTGACCCATTTCTCTCCTGCCTCTTCCCACTCCTTGCCTTAATAAGAAAAACAAAGTGATGTATATCTATGTGCTATTAGACTCGTATATATAAAGAAAATTATAGTTATAATAAGCTATATGGCTTATCAACAATAGAGATAAAAACAACAAAAAAAATTCTACTTTTTTCACTATTATATATATATATATATAT